GGGACGCAGGTTAAAGACGCAGATGGGTCGCGATGGGGAGAGAGAGAGAGAGAGAGAGAGAGAGAGAGAGAGAGAGAGAGAGAGCGAGCGAGCGAGCGGGAAATAACAGAAATCTTTGCACAGATATATTAGGAGAATTTAAAGCCGAGGCCGACCTGGATGCCGCAATGTTCGGCAAGGAGGAGACACTGTCACGGAAAGCACGACCTCAGACGATGTCTTCATGACATATTTGGTGTACAGATCATTCAAGCATCCGCCCAGTGGAAATGAAAGAAGCTTCAAGAGAAAGCTTCGCGCATAAAGGTTTCACTGCCGGTATCTAGGTCGTACAAGTGCTTGATGCGAGAACAAATAAATCTACTTGCACCCATGTACTTGCACGTGTGACTCTGGCAATCGATCAGCATGTCCTTGCCACAGCGAAGAATAACTTGAATGATTACCGTTGCTTTGTGCCGAGGCCTCTTGTTCCTCGACTATCCGTGCAGCTCGGAATGTGGTGCGGGACATCGGGGAGAAAGGGGCTCGTGCTAGCGGCGGGTTGCTAGAACTGTCCAGATGCAAAGAGGATGACGCTGAGAGGGACACTCACCGTCTGTTAGTCAAGCGGTATCGTCTCAGTCTAGAGAAAGAAATCCCCCTCAAATACCTCGAGCTGAAGAACAAACGACTCGCCATCTTGCGACTTCGGGACTGGATGCAATTCCTTATCGATTCTCATTGTTGGCACATCGTGACTGGGCTTGTTGGCCGGGACGAGGCCCGAGAAGAGGCCATACTCAATGAATTCTGGTCGAGGTACAAAGTCTCCCACCCCAGACACCCCATATTCCAATTGGAGGCAAAAGGTCTGTACCTGGGCAGATGCGCCCCGCTGATTTATCACGGCGACGAAGGACGAGGCAAACGCAGAACAGCATTTCTGGTCACCAGCTATTCGTCGATCCTAGGGCGCGGCAGCGCCCCTGCAGACAAAGCTCGCAAACGAAACGGAGTCCGAAAAGAGTATCTGAAACTTCGAACGAACTTTCGAGGTCACTCGTTCACGAACCGTTTCTTCCAGGCAACCCAGAAGCGAATTCAGTCATTTCGTTTGTGTATAAAAGTATTTTAAGTGCTATATAAAGTATAAACGATGGTTTCTCAAGTCTTATATAAGTCAATTTACCCAACATCTTAAAATTGATGCAAGTCGAAAATATGTAGAAGCCCAACCCGATCCCCAGAAACCATAAAGTTGATCAACCATATTTGCGAGCTAAGGCTGGCTGGCCTAAGGCCATCTACGACAACGAGGAAAATGGAGCTTTCGAGTTGCTTCTTCAGAACTGCAAAGATGAGAACGACTTCTTGATGTATCAAGGCTTATGGGACCAAGGACGACACAAAAAGTTTCATGCCGTCATTCTTGCGGTCACAGGAGATTGGCCGTGGCTTTGCAAGTCTGGAAGACTCCTTCGGAATTTTAACCATGCCGTCAAGAAGCCCAAAGATGCGGAAAACCCAACAGGGATATGTCACCTTTGTTTGGCGGGGCGACGGGAGCACGATTTCGAGCACATACATACAGAAAGGCCGTCCTGGCTAAGCACTTTTTTGCAAGAAGACCCCTTCGATGAACCCTCGGTATTGGCAACACTTCCGCACGAGCCTGGGGGGGCTGCCTCGATCTTCCGATTTGACTTGTGGCACTCGTGCCACTTGGGCATTTGCAAGCCGCTGATTGGTTCAACGCTGGCGCTACTCAGCGAAACTTATGCTGGACGGTCCAGAGACGCCCGCTTCATGCTTTTATCAGACGACTTCCTGACGTGGTGTCGGGAGAACAAGCGGCAAGCTCTTTTGCACAAGGTGACAAAGGAAACAATATGTTGGCCCAAATCCACAGAGTTCCCTAGCGGCTCATGGTTCAAGGGTTCCTTGTCAACCACCTTCTGCGAATTTATCGAAGCGACCTTATCAGACAAAACCTTTGAGGACCCATTGCTGACGAGGAGTGTCGAGGCTGTGCAAGCCTTGAACAAGTTTCTTTCGGGCTTGTATGAAAGCGACGTGTTCCTCGATCGTCACACGGCAACAACTTTGGGTCACTATGGCCTGCGATTTCTCAGGAGATATTCGTGGTGCGCTACAGAGGCTGTGCGCCAGCGTCGATGCCTTTTTAACTTGCTTCCGAAATTACATTGTGTACACCACATCTGCCTTCAGGATCTCATCGAGCCGGCCCAGCGCCATGATTACATCATCAACCCCCTCGTGTACTCGGTGCAGCTTGCCGAAGACTATATTGGTAGAAATTCGCGAACCAGCAGGAGGCTCCACCCGGCCACAGTTACGAAAAGAGTAGCGGAGAGGCATCTGCAGGCTGCATACAGGCAGTATCTAAAGGCAGGCTTCTTGGTGGAGGATGCACCGGCAGCCAGCAGTGAGCAAGGATGACAGCACACACCGAGATTTGTGTGGGAATAGTGGCTTAAATTTCCTACACAGTGTAGAACATAATATGGTAAATATACATGGTCCCACTCGAGCTGTGTCTTCCTTGAGTGCCCGGCATGGCGTCTGATCGAAGTCCGTCGCGACGACAAAGGTCCAAAGGGCTTTGGGAAGTTGGTTTTATCTTCGGCGGGGGCTCTGGCTTGAACTTGTCGGTGTGGGATACATATGGAATCGTTAAGGATTGGGTTTGTGGAAAGGTGAGTTTACGAAAAGCTTCAAAGATCTTGGGCAGGTGAGGCTTTTGAAAGGTTTTGGTTCGCAGGTTACTTCAGGGGGTATCGAAGGATGTTGTTCCGAATGACTGTAGTGAGGTTTCGTACCGAAACAGCTGATCCTCCAGATATCCCAAAACCCGGTTTCTAAACAAAACCCCAGTTCTCTTTTTAATAACCTGGTTATTTTTCGTTACCGACTATTTATTAGGTTGTAGGGGGTCTAGGTATATACACATATACGTATATAAACATGCACATAATTACTTATGTACATATATACATTTTGATATATATATATATATATATATATATATATATATACATACATACATGCATGCATGCATACATACACACACATATACATATGTACACGTACACATATATACACAAAACACGTGTACACATATACATATATACATTTAAACATATATACATATATACACCTCTAAATATATGCATCTACACAAGAATACATAATTACCCATACACATATACACATATACATGTACACATGTATACATATAAACATGAATAGAGTTGTGATTTTAAAATCAGGGGCGCCCCATCAGTCCGAGGCTCCATCCTCGGAGTTCAAGGGTGATAAGACTTCTGGTTTTAAAGACAGGACCGCCCTATCAGTCCGAGGCTCCGTCCTCGGAGTTCTATGGTGATAAGAGTTCTGATTCTGAAATCAGGGGCTCCACATTAGTCCAAGGCTCCATCCTCGGAGTTCAAGGGTGGTCAGAGTTCTGTTTTTTCAAAATCAAGGGCACCCCGTCAGTCCAAGGCTCCATCCTCGGAGTTCAAGGGGTGGTGAGAGTTTTGATTTTAAAATCAGGGGCGCCCCACCTCGGAGTTCAAGGGTGGTAAGAGTTCTCATTTTAAAATCAGGGGCGCCCCATCAGTCCAAGGCTCCATCCTCGGAGTTCAAGGGTGGTAAGAGTTCTGATTTTAAAATCAGGGCCGCCCCATCAGTCCCAGGCTCCATCCTCGGAGTTCAATGGTGATTAGAGTTCTGATTTTCAATCCAGGGGGCCCCATCAGTCCCAGGCTCCATCCTCGGAGTTCAAGGGTGATAAGAGTTCTCATTTTCAATCCAGGGGGTCCCATCAGTCCCGAGCTCCTTCCTCGGAGGTCAATGGTGATAAGAGTTCTGATTATAAAATCAGGGGTGTTCAAGGGTGATAAGACTTCTGGTTTTCAAGACAGGACCGCCCTATCAGTCCGAGGCTCCATCCTCGGAGTTCAAGGGTGGTAAGAGTTCTGATTTTAAACTCAGGGGCGCCCCATCAGTTCGAGGCTCCATCCTCGGAGTTCAAGGGTGGTAAGAGTTCTCATTTTTCATCCAGGGGCGCCCCATCAGTCCCAGGCTCCATCCTCGGAGTTCAATGGTGATAAGAGTTCTGATATTGAAATCAGGGGCGCCCCATCAGTCCGAGGCTGAAGCCGAGGGCTACCGTGGAGGGAGGTTTAGCACAGTCACTGGCTCCTGCGCCTAGCTCCTTTGTTGCCCTGTTGCCTAGCGGGGTCCAAAACCCGCACGTTTCGTAGCGCCTTCCTCCGCTCCTTAGCTCCTTCCTGCAGGACGGACCTAGCGCAAACACTGGCTCCTCTCCTAGCTCCTGTGTTCCCTGGGTGGCCAGCAAAGGGGTCGCCCGGCCCCGGTTTCCTAGCGCCTGCCTTCGCTCCTTGCTCCTCCTGCAGCGCACTAGCGGAACACGAAAGCACAACACAGGCAACACAGCAAGTGACATGTAGCAAGAACGTGGTTCCCTCCACTCTCTTCTTTCTCCCCCCCCCTCCCCCAGTCCCCCAGCCCACAAAAGGCCCCCCCCCCCCAAGCACACCCCCTTCAAAAGTCTAGCGGCGTTTCGCAAGGGAGGAAGAGAGAGAGAGAAGAGAGAGGCAGAGAGGGGAGGACATGCGGTTCCGACCTAGCAGTCTTTCTAGCCTTGGTGCGAGTGCGAGTTCGGCGGCTTAGCACGCCCTGCGCTCAAGGATGACTGCTAGCGGACCCTGTTGCGGGATCCTCGGGGGCCTCGTCATCTTCCGAGTTAGCGAGCGACCCTTCGCTAGCGTCTCCTTCGGAGATAGCCCCTTGGTTCGGCCAGCATAGCTTACACACATGTGTGTACTCATGCGGCCCCGGAACCGAATCAAGAACCCTAGCGTTGCGGAAAGGGCGGCGCTTTCCCATCCAGCAACCTGTAGCGCCCGCTTTGTGCAGGCGGAAAATAGCACCTGGGACCTCTACGATCACATAGCTGCCCTGGCTGCGGTCAGGAACCCTGGCCTGCTTCTTAGCAGGCCGTTCCACGACCTCTGCAGAAGCCTCGGAGCTACTCCCTGCCATTAGCGGTTCCTCGGGCTCGACCGGTTCCTCGGGAACCTGGACTCCTAGCAGGCCTTCCATCCAGATCTTCCGCAGCCGCGCCGCCATATCGATAGCCTGGCTGTGGGTTAGCTTGGCCCTTCTTCCAGTCGAGCGCTTCGTAGCGGTCGTCCCCCCTACTAGCTGTCTTAGCGAAGAGAGCTTGGAGACGGGACACCCTACCCGCAAAGGATCTAGCATACACATCGGACCCTTCGATTTTCCAACGCCCTAGCAGATCCTTATTTTGCGGTGGGATCTCCTTTAGCGCCAAACCCGTTGGTAGCACCGAGCGCTCACTGTGCTCCGTCCAATAGCCCTGGACCTCCCGGGGGTAGCCCATGATAGCCAGCAGCATAGGTAGCGATCTTCTTCTCCAGCTGCCCTGCCCGGCCCAGCCGCGGCATGAGGTAGTCCCGGGCATAGTTAGCGTGGGCTTTCAGGAGATCGAAGCCGGTCACCAGCCAGCCCTTAGCGACCAGGAAGGCGTGCTCCGACACAACGACCGGTATCCTGAACCCTTCTTGTAGCCCCGGAAGTCTTTGTCTTCCGGAGGATGGTGGTGAGACGACCCTCCACCATCAATATAGCTCCGCCGGCAGGATTGCTTGGAGGTCCGACCATCTTAGCGTGGCCCAGACCTTGACCAACTTAGCCCAGGCCCAGACACGCCAGCCCACCGCCAAGGCGGGGTTGACTACCACCAGCTCTAGCTGCACCAGCATGTAAACGGGGTAGCGCGGAGCTCTCTTGATCAAAGGGGCTCCCTCCGCTAGCTGTTCCACTATGCTGTCCTTAGCGGCCCAAACCAGGCGACCAAAGGTGGTCCGTAGCCCGACCGGAAAGTCGGCCACTTTCTCCATCCAGGAGATAGCCTTGAGAATAGCTTCCGGAACCGGCCGGCCGCAAGGTTCATCGCTCCTAGCGAGGAGGTAATCCACCAAGTCGGCGGCGGTGCCCGGAGGCGGCCTGAGCTTAGCTGCGTGGAGCCATTGGCGCCACTGCGTGTAGTAGCTCAGGAGTCGTTTCAGAGTAGAAGCCCGCGTCTTCCCTGGCAGCAACATAGCTGCCCGCACGGGATCCAGACTTCTTGAAGCTTAGCGAGAATAGGGGCACGTATCTCTAGCAGCTCCTCATGGAGCTTTCTTGCCCAAACCTCCAGCAACCGCTCCTCCCTAGCGGCACTGACCGTGCCGGGCTGTAGCACCTTTCGGTTCCGCTCCCCGGGGGGAGGCCTTAGCGGCGCCACAGGCTGGCGCGTAGCTTCTTCGACCCCCTCTACCCTGACCCTCCAATAGTCTCTTAAAAATAAGGGTCTGTTTTGGTAAACGCTTAATCCTTTAACAAGCCCTTAAAATAATCGCTTATTGTTGATTTGTTAAGCGCTTGTTAAGCGCTTGTTAAGCGCCTGTTCTTCTTCTTCTTTGTTGTATAATATATATATACACACACACATGCAGAATAGTTTTTTTCCGAGCCACGGATCCATGGTCGGAGGGAGGGAGGTCGGCCATGAGTCCGATGCGATGCATCATCGTATTCATCTCGATCATTCGACAGCATCGATCGTTGTCCTGTGCGATCGTTTTGCTCCGCCGCAGTTTTGTTTCAGAAGGCTCAAGTCCTAGAGGAGCCATGGAGGCCAAGGACAGAGTCCCCACAATTTTGCTGAAGCACCTGCCTCGTGGTCCTGAGTCGAAGGACTACCTGCAGCCGGACCCGAATCTGTTGTGCGACCAGTTCGGCGAGATGGCTTTAGACATCATGCTTTGTGATGGGCGGAAGTCTTCCAAATTCTTGGAGGGCTGTGCCATGGAAGCTTGGCCCAATATTCTTTCTGCCAGCGAAGCACAATGTTTCGGGCAGCGACTTTTTTCGCTTCTCGAACACCTGCACCTCAAAAAAAAAACAAAGCAGTTCTTGTGCCAAGCTACACCCTTCTGTGAAAAAGGTGGTCAGTGCCCTCAAAGACAAGATGCCTGGTCGAATGAACTCGTTCGGCTCGCTCTCCTCATCGTCCCATGGTCCTGCAAAGAAGTGCTCTGCAAGCAGCCCGGCGGCTGCAAAGCCTGAACCGGCACTGACGCTTCCGGGAAAAGGTGATGTCAAGGCTGCTTACAAGCAGCAACTGAAACTGGAAGAGGATGCCATAGAGCTTTCGCAGGAGGAGGAGGAGGAGGAGGAGGAGGAGATTGAGCATGTCCCAGCTTCGGCAAGTGTCGTTTCTCTTTCGTCGGCCGAGGATGCGCTCTCGGCCAAGGATGAAGCGACCCAGGGTCTGCAAGATCCAGGCTTTTATCAGTACTACAGCTCGGGAGACCTTTCTGAAGTTCGCTTGTACACGGATGGCTCCT